CAATTAAAGATAAATTTATAATATTCTCACTAGCAACATATGTAATACATTCCATTGTAATGTCAAATAAAAGTTTGCCGCCTTGACGACCCCACTATAAAAACGTGATATGAGAGAGATGTGGCTTGTCTTGCAGAGCGTATATGTCATGTAATCCGGTTTATAATTATTTTGGGGGTGTTGGTTAACTATAGATGAGGTTGAAAATGTAATCACTCTGGAATAAGAACTTTTAGGAGGCAATGTTAAGGATATACTCAGCTCATTATATGAAATTCCACTCTCAATTCTTACATCATTTAAAGCGATCTAGGTCAATCGAAGTTCTTATAGCAAAACTTCCATACAAAGGCGTTTGCGCATGTAAATGGGATATTGCCTGTCCCGAAGTGAAGAAGAATTGGCAAATATGTTACAAGGGCATTATTCTCCGTGACAATTCTGCTATGCTGCAGCTGTCCTTGAAAAGTTAAAACCTGCATTGAAGAAAATAATTCCACATAAGAAGAGGTGAGGCGAGGCGGAATGTGGAAGACGAAGATGAGGGCCTGATGATTCCCTTCTAGAAGTATATCCAGTCAAGGAAATCAAGAACGCTCAGGCTAAAAATAATTTATTTTCCCAGGCCGAGTAATATGCACTAGAAGGCATCAACTTAGCGACCAAGGAACTGACGGATTTCAAAAACCCACATTCAAGGCCCGATAACGCACCTCAATTCGGTTCCGAAATTGACTCAGTTTTTCAGCCTCTTCATCACGCCCCTCGGCCAGCTTCATGTCGGCCATTTGACCGACATTACCTTCGAACTGTCTGACCCGAGCGAGCCGGTCACGCCATTCGGCGAACTCGCGAGCGTCGCAGTCTTCGGCGACCAGATGAGCAGCCAGCCGCTTCTGTAGACTGGCCTCCAGACAGCGCAGCCAGTCTTCGTGGTCGGCCACCCGCGACTCCGTTACTTGCAGTTCGTCGAGGGAGTCCTGCAGTCGGTTCAGACAATCGGCCAGCTGGTGGTTCGGTCGAATCGAGATGGTATCCGATGTTCGCAGGTGAGAGGGTATGCAAGGGAGACAAATCAGCTCAATAATATGGAAAATGGGCAACGAAAAGCCAGATGGGGCTTGACCTATGCTTTTGTGCCCTCTACCTCCAGCCTCAGAAGAGGGGTATCCTTAAAACGACAGGTGAAGAGAAGTTAAATGAAATAGGCTGTATGAAATGATCATCCTCTAGCTCCTCTCAGAAGGAATCTGACTATGACTACTTTCATAGAACATCAACGAATTCGGCAAATTCCATAACAGAGCACAAACATGAGGTGGGTCCCAGAAGTCCGAGCCTACCACCCAGAGCTGTGGTTATTACATCATTTATAAAAAAAAGAATACAGATTTTTACCCAGCTGATAATTTTTAAATAATATTATAAAGTTTTTTACTAATAGGTAAGTCTCCTAATATAGGTTTAATGACGTCAAAAAGAAGTTTGCGTGTATTTACTGAAAGTCAAGACGTTTCAATATTTGGCATGACCCTCTCGCCTTTATCACCATTTACACTGGATATAACGTCGGTTCTACAAGGTTTTGCCTAATTTTGGAACCCTTATTATTTCAGCACTCTTTTAGAGAGCCCCAAAGAGTTATTTATGAGGCTAAAATATATTCCAACTTTCCTTTTTCAAAGGTTCACTGGGAGTCTGATGATTGACTGAGTCCAAGTCAGCACTCCTTGCTTTTCCTTCGACTTCAAATGGGCCTGACGATGTCTCGATGCATATTTAGGATTCTTGTCCCGCTTGAAAAGAAATCCTCTTTCATACAAATTTAAGCCAGAGGAGATGCACGTCTCTGGAAAATGGAGTGGTACTTCTCTCTGGCCAATATGTAGATCAGGCAGACATAGATCTACCACAGAATTTGAAGAAAAGTCTATCAAAGGTATGAAGACCAAGATGGTGTGGCCTTTGTGTGGTCGCAGTCTCGTTTCGTTGTATAGAAGTTATTTGACCTTGTTTTCGCAACTCGGTCATATTGGTAAGAAGACTTACAGGAACGCACCTAGTCCGGAGTCCATTGTATGCATCATCATTTCCAGAGTAGGACCGTGGACATGATACATTCGCAGACGTTTCTTGTCTCTTTGACGAGTTGTAATATGGTGCTACGAATGGCGAGACTCACTGACGATGCCGACTACGAT